AGGGGTGCGCGAGAGTCGCGCTCCACAAGGCCCCTCTCCTCGGCTAAGTCTAGGATGACACTGACGGGGTGCGTCAAGGGAGTCCGAGGGTGCTCCAACAGAATGGGCTGGGCCCAAGCCTTCGGGTTTCCCTTGTAACCTCCCCCGGGCTTGGCTTGGCCATGCCGGGGGCGATCAGTGGGGGGTGCCGAAACCTTGGATTGATTATGGGGAGCCCCCGGCCCCCGGTTACCCTTGTCATCTGGCCGAGGGCGTTGCTGATCGGGGTTGTGATGGCAATTTCCACCTCCTCGGCCTCGGCGTACCGGTCCCCCCGCTGCAGGGCCCTTATGTAATCGTGAGGAGGTTCGATGATGAGGCTCCTTGAAAAGTTCCCAGGGCGAAGCACTGTTTGAAGGAGGGCGAGTAGGGTCCCATCGTCAGCGCCATCAACTTTGTCCGCCTCCATCCTCCAGCGCTCCAAGAAGTCCCGAAGGGTCTCCTCCTTCCTTTGTCTTACTGTTAGTAAGTGGGAGAAGTGTTTCCTTGACCAGCGCCTCCCTGCAAACTGCGTCAGGAAGCGTTGGGCGAGTTCTTGCCATGAATCAATGGAGCCTTCGGGCAATCGGTTGAACCATTCGTACGCTGGTCCCTCTAAGGTGGAAAGGAACCAACGACACAAATATTCGTCCGATGCCCCCACCATCATCATGCTGTTTTGGTAGCGGCTGTAATGTTCTTGAGGGTCAGTCTTTCCTTCATAGGGCCTGATGGGCTGCCCCCGGTATTTTTCCGGAATTCGGGCCACCAATACCCTTGGGGTAAATGGCGTCCTAACTCGTAGTTGGATGACGGGTTCCCCGGAGCCTTCGGTTATTTTCTTTTCCATTTCCTCCATTTTGGCCAACATGGCCTCATATTTGGGATCCGCATGGGGGCGGTGATGGTGGTATGTGCCCGATGGGCCTCCATCTCATCAAGTCGGCGCTGGAGGGCCGCAATGAGTTCGTCCCTGTGATCCTTCGGGAGGGCCTCCGCCCCCTGTGAACGAACACGGGCCGAGTGGGCCTGATTGATTTGGTGCCTTGCGTCATCGGAATGAAGCGGTGCCTTGCCTTTTTCCTGAGGAGGACGTCGTTCGTTTTCCCTGGAGACGGATCCGCCACTTTCCTGAGGTCTTTGGAATACCTTCCCCCCGAGGCGGTCTTGGACCCCTCGGCGGTCTTGCGCCCCTCCGAGCCTCTCGAGGGTGGAGGTCTGGGGCCCTTCTTTACCACGCCGGTCCCGGGATTGAACCTCCTGGGAGGCGGTGTCTTGAGCCATGACCCCTTCGTCGTTCCCCACCCGAGGGGTAGGGTTCACGAAGGGGGGTGGTCGTGGGAGAAGAACAGCGTTCTCCTCGACTTGCGGTTGAAGGGGTACCAGAGTGCCGAAGGCACCTGGGTTTTGAGTGAGTGTCTGGATGAAGGCAGAGAATGCTGATTGTACGTCGATAGTGAGAACCGGAGGGCTCACTTGATTTTCGCTTCGGTCCCTCCTTCGGGTTTCGATGTCGAGGCTGGCATCGGGAGCGTTTTGTTGGAGCTGAAGGCGTAGGTCAACAACATCCTGTTCCAACTCAGTGATGTCCCCGCCCTCAGGAGCCTTGTTAGAGGCTCCGGGGGCGTTGACTTCACCGAGGGCCAGGTTGTTGTCCTCAAGGTTCTTGGACTGAGCACGGGTGGTTCTTCCCATTTTAGTAGGTGTTTTTTAGCTGAAGGGGAGGTTTTCTTACTTGATTGTTCGACCTCTCAACGAGAGCACCAAATGATGGAGAAGTGTACCCGAGGGTATTATCCGAGGGGTTACTGCGGGGAGTAACTAGAGAGAAGTGAGAGCAAAAGTAAGAGAGAGAATATATATTGCTGAGAATGTGTTGAGCGTATTGAACATGGATTACAAAATGGGGAAAGGGGTGCTATTTATAGTGGTAATAAATGCCAGATAGGGACACGTGTTATCATTCTGGGGGTCGAGGGGTCATCTCAATGGGGTGGCGCTGACACTCGCATGTGGCCGCATTAAATGCGGTAGTTGGATGTGACGTTTGTACTTGGTACGTTGATCTGGCACATGTGGGTGGGAGATTCTATCGAGGAGATGCCCTCGGTCGTAGATGATTGGCCGAAGGCTCTTTATACCGGGGCCTCTAGGTGCCGAGGGCTACTGTTTCGCCGCTTTCTCCCAGACACTCTGAGTACTTTAAAGAAGCTGTATCGTGAGTTTATTAGCCTTCGGTCAGGGGGCTGAAGGCACACCAGTGTTCATCGTGGGCTGTTTGGCACTTGGGACGCTGTGATTTGGGCCTGCCATGCTTCCTGGGCCTATTGGGCCTTTGCTACAGTAGTGGGAGAGTATGGGCGGGGGGTTCCTGGGCCATATACTCCATCACTTTCCACAAGAGCTTTGTTATATCACTACTAAAAGGTGTGTTTTATGAGATCTCAGGAATCCTATTTCAAGTGTAGCAGTTGCCTCAACAGTTCCCTGAAGACCACCCAACTACTGAGCCCACTGCTCGTACACATTAATTTCCTTTAAACATCTCAACATCACAACATGCATAAAGAAACTTGCTCATACACCTTTCTGAAAATCAGACTGTTACTCAGCAAGTACCTAAGCAGTTCCCTTGTAACCACTCAACTGTTGAGCCCACTGCTCTTATAAACTCACACCACAACTCATCCAAGCACATCTTCAAAAAGTCCCCATCACCCTGAGCAATATTACATATTCAGTTTTCCCATACTCATATCTTTCCTTAAGCAGTTGGCGCAACAATTCCCTGGTGAACACCCAACTGCCGAGTCCACTGCTCTCTTGATCTTTCACTAGTAATCATCTCAGCACATTTCTAGAAAGCTCTCACCTTCCTAAGCAATATTCTATCCTCACTTTCATCATACACTAAATATTTCCTCAGCAATTGCCTCAACAGTTCCCTGCCATCCAGCCAACTGCCAAGCCAACTGCTCACCCTATAAGTCCTTAAATCACCCAAGTCAGAAAGGTGTTATACATTTAATATCAAGAGGTTAAAGACTTCCGTTGTGCATCTATAAATCTCCTAAAAAGATTATAGACCAACTCATCTAGAAGGGAAAAGTTTTTAAAGTCGAAAAAAAAAACTTTAAAAGTCTATTCACCCCCTCTAGACTTTTACCTCTACCCGGGACCATCATAAAGTTAACTAAAAATTAAAAAGCTATTTTTTATTTATCGTCTTATCAAGAAAAGAATGGCTGAGATTGATTGGTTATTTACAAAGAGGAACAATTTGAAGAATGAGTAAATTAAAGGAAAAATAATTAAAATATCACAAACTTTGAAGTGGTGTGAGATGAACACCCCAAACTTGCATATGTAATTTAAATACCTCAAACGGCTAACACATAAAAATACAATATGAAACAGATAAATATTACTCCCTTCGTCCCAAAATGAACTTCACGGTCACTATTCACATAGTCAACTTAAATTACTCTTAATCTTATGTTTTATATATCAATTTTTATCAAATTTATATTTTTTTAACAGCCTTTGTAGCGGTTTTAATGTAGTTTCTCAATATGTAAATTTTATTTACTAAAAGTAATTTGAGTTTGAACAGAGATCGAGTTGCTTTATCATCGGTCAAACATCATAATCCGAAATGGGAAGTTCATTTTGGGACGGAGGTGGTACGTGTTTGTACTGTGTGTAACAATGAGTGACGAATCCAACTATTATCATTCTAATTCATTAACTAGTGTAGTACCAAATAGGTTATAACAGGATCAAGTTTGCGGGTTCCTTCCAAGTATGAATTTTCTGATAAAAATATATTATCTCCCTCACACTAATATCGGGGCAAAAGGAGTTGACATGATTATTAAAAAAATGAATTTATATGATTGATATTGAATGTATAAAGTAAAAAATAAAGTAAAAATGATTTCGAACCATACAAACTTTACCAAATTTAGTATGAGAGTATCTTAGTGGGATTTCTCGAAAAGGTAATATGAGACAATTAGCGGGGCAGAGGGAGTATTTGAATGTTCAGACTAGAGTTAGTATGTTTTTACTTGAATTGTTTTCAGTCCCACACCAGACCATATCGGATCAGACCAGACTTGAACAGTTCAGATAAGACCAAATTATATTAGACCAGAAAATTCAAGCCTAAGAAAAAATATGGGTATTCTTACAAAACGCCGTATTAAGTATAAACACATAACTGCAATTAGGGCAGACTGTATCAAATTTAAATACTCGTAAAATGAACCAATATTAGATCTTCACCAATTTAGAGTCCGGTTGGTAACACGAAAATCGGCTGATTCGGCTGAAATTTATGAAGTTTTGGCTGAAGTGGCTGCATTGACTGATTCTGCGGATTTAAGAAAAAAATATTTTTAAAATATATTTTATTAATAAAATAAAGAAAAATTCATATGTAAAATTTGTTAAAATGGTAATGTACAATAACTTCAGAAAATACAATCAAAAAAGTAACTTCAATCTTGTTTTTTTTATTATTAGTCAATTCAGCGTCCGAAAATAAAAGTTACGTGATTGATGAAAAAGTTACGTGATTGATGAAAATAAAAGCAGAAAAATAATGTTACTACTTCTTGAACTCCATCTTAGACCAATTAGGCGATTAGTGCAGACAGACAATTAAGCATCAGCCCCACGAACAATCAAACACCTGATCCAATTCCTTTCGTCGTCCTCGTTTTGCTACTTCCCTTCCACTGTGGACTCCTCCCATCATCAGTTTCCCAAATATCCCAAAACCCACACGGAAGGCGAGACATAACAATACGCCAATACTCACACTCCACCTGTCCCTATAGATAAAAATTGATGATGAAACTTTCATCGACAAAATAATTCATATCATCACACGCTTGAGTACGGATTACTGTTTGTTAAATTAAATACTCTGTTCTACTATATCTATAAGATATATACAAGCAATGGTGAAATGAGTATATGTACCTTCCAAAGATGGCTGTAATGGCGACGAGGATCACCCGAACGATGACCCGCATGGCCCGTAGACCCAAAACGAGGCCCTTTGTATTCGGGTCGGCTTATCCCGATTCGTGTGGGAATTCTGGGTCATCATTTTCGACCTCTGGAACGACTAAGGCCGGGGAGGAGTCGCCGGACAAGACCTTCGGGTTGCTCAAGGATTACGAGGATTACCGGCGGGGGATGTATGGTGGGCTGACTCATAAGGCCCTCCTTGTTGATGCAGTAGGCACTCTCGTTGTTCCCTCTCAGCCCATGGCTCAGGCTGGTCTCTCACCTTAGCTCATTTCCTTTTTTTGAATTAATAATAAAAAATTACTATTACGATTGTAATTATTATTTATCATAATTATTATTATAATAATTGTTGTTTTTATTACCTACACTTGTTATTACTCCTAGAGAGTACTATGTATTTATTTTCTTTGTTGAATTGAATAACATATATGTATATGCTACTAGTATTTGCAAATCCCTGATAATACTTGAAAAAAAAATGAATAAATGATTAAATGATAAGGAAACGGTGCTCTTACGTCTGGATAACTTCTGAAAATGTATTACTATTGTTGTTTTAGAAATATGCTCATACATTTAAATTTTTTAACTTTCATACGATAGGAATGCGGTTGGTCATATGGAGTATACAAATAAAAGAAAACCTGTTCTGTTTGAGACATTGCTTTACTTTCCTATATTAGGGGCATTTAATGTCAATTGATGATTCAATACTTTTTGTTAATCCAAGTGATAAATGAGTATGAAGGGTGCAAATTGGGTTGGATTAGATTTTAGGAAAACATTTTTTTTCTTTCCAAATTTCTCCAATCCCCCATTCTCTTCTCTAGTATTTTCCCTCCAAACTGACCCATAGGGGCCTTATAGTTTAACAGTTCTGAATGTTGCGTGTTTCTGAATTTCTTTGTGCTGCCGAAAAAATGTGATATGAAGCTTTTCTTTAAAATTGATAGACTCTTACTTTTGTTATTTTTCTTTTGAAGCCACTGTCTCATTGTCTATGATTTATGGCTTATGATGTTGATGGTGCAATTTTCATACCATATTGATTTTAATAGCATCCACTTTCCTTTTTTACATTTCTCTACCTGATTAGAAACTGTTTAGCTTGCAAATAGTTGTTTGTATTTCATGTTTGATCATTTGCCTTCAACTTACTGCTTATTGTTTTTGTCTTAGTTATGTAGGATAATGATTTTGCGTAGTTTTTCCTTCCTGATTACTCTGTTTATTGACTTCTCTTTCTTTCCCTTAAAATTTTCAGATTTACAGGCAAATTGGGGAGAAATATGGGGTGGATTACTCTGAAGATGAGATACTAAATAGATACAGAAGGGCTTATGAGCAACCTTGGTGTAGATCTAGACTCAGGTTACTCGTTTTCTTTTTCATAGTTCATTGATGCTTTTTCATTGAACTTGCTATGTTATGATTGTCTCGAATTTCTTATGGTGACATAAAAAGAACGGGTGAATAGAAAATTTCTCTAGTCAATGTCACTCTTCATGACTTCATGTGATCATACTATGACTTGATTCATTTATGTGATTATTTCATTTTTACTGGTCCCATTTAGTTGAGATGTTTCATGATTTTTGTGTCATGCTTTTATAGATTGGGGCCCTAAGGCCTTGTAGGGGAGGGGTGCAGAAGAAATTGAGGGAAAGGGAGGAAATGAAAACAGGAATGGTTTAAAAATGATGTTTTCCTACAATGTTACTTTAATAAGAACTCATAGACAAATGTATTACTACACTGACTCAGAAATACAACTCATGGTCACTGCTGTCTGCAGTAAATTAGAAGTACTATTATGGTCACTACAATGTAAAATGAATCATGTCGTAACCACCACAGTCATTGTGGGAATTCTAATATGGTCATACAACAACAACAACAACAACATCCAAGCCTTAATCCCAAAAGAATTTGGGGTCGGCTAACATGAATCGATCTATGATATCGATGCCAAAAAGAGAAGGCAGACAAGAAAAGGAAAAAAAGTAAGATAAAATGAATAAAATAAAGATACATAAATATAAGATAACAATAACACAAGAATATAACCAAGATTTTAGTAATGCGCATAAAAATCACATTTCAGTTCATTATGTTTATTTTAGTAATGCATATGTCATTATTTCTAACAAATATCAATGGAGTGCGAAAAATAGTATTTTGAAAAAGTTGTACTTGATATTGTTTTTGTGGTATATACTTGTATTAATATATACATATGTATAACAGTTTTAGTGTACATAACCCACCCCCACGCCGATATTCCTCAATTTGAGGGAGTGATATATTAGGAATTTGGTGGTTTTTATACCTCCTCCGCATTACTCTTCCTTTCCGATAACTCCCCAAACCCAACATTTTCCCACTCACTCCTAAATCATCTAACCAAACAGGTCTTAGAGTTAATGGTCACCACCCAGCTAATTTTGGTACTATGCGTGATTGGCATTTTGATATCCAAAAGTTAAGCTGTTGCCAATCAAATATTGACAAGGATAAAATGTACAGACTACAGAATAATACGGAGTAATAATTATGTGAACAACTAGTAGTTATTATAGGACTTTTATTTGGTTGGTATGACGTGAGAAATCTTAATTATGACTTATGAGTAAAAGCTAGATTTACATTTTCTTAAATATGACTCATTCAAGAAGAATTGCTAACCATTTTATTCTTTTTGAAGGGTAGAATGAATCACATATTAATAGATTTTTAACACAAAACAAGGGTACTTCTACTAATGCACATGACCAATGTTTTAATCTTTATTTGGATTTTGGAGTAATTTCTTATTTATTTAACTTATACTTCGTATTTTACTTTAATTTTCTTATTTTCTTACTTTATATATCTTATTTTCTTACTTTATACTCCGTATATCTTATTTTCTTACTTCATTCATTTCCTCAGAATATGGTAGAAGACATTTATTCTAAAATGAAATTCTAGTTATTTCTTCATTACCCTTTATGTAGAACATTTTATACTCCTTAAAGAGAAACCTCTATGCTTCCGTAAATAAATTGTGTGTTGGCATGTGTATATCACAAGGACAAGAATATGAATGTTTGCCTGACATATTGGCTTGCAGATATGTGAATGATGGGAGGCCATTCTGGCAGCATATAGTCAGTTCGTCTACTGGGTGTTCCGATTCTCAATACTTTGAGGAGTTGTATAACTATTATACCACTAACAAGGTTGGTTTTATTTCAAAATAAGATTGGCTGATTCTAGGAGTCATTCTGTGGGTGTCCTTTTGGACCCCGGAATATACCAGGGAAAGAGAATAGGGAGAAATGGGAAGGGAAAAAATCAGGGGAATTAATTGATAGACTCAAATTCAATAGTTTGTTTTCGTTTTATGTACTTGTATTTTTTTGTTGTTGTGTTGTTTTTGAAAAATAAATAATCACATTACAGTATTACATCTTGCCTTGTATTTTCCAAGGTAAAACCAAACATGAGAAAAAAATTCTGATCCTTAACAATTTTTCCATTAGAATTTTCCTAAACCCAAACCTACTATAAATTTCTGATAAAAATGATGCTCTTTTTTGTGAAACTTGAAAGCTGGAATTTTATCAATTCAGGATCCGAAAGATAGATGAATTATCGATCCGGGACCTGAAAGATGAAATGTATCGATATAGGACCCGAATGATGGAAAACTATCAATTTAGGACTTGAATGATTGGAAATTATTAATTTAGGACCTAAGTTGTCCGAAATTTTATTAATTTTTTTTCTTAAAATTTTTAAATATTATTTAGTTTTATGAAACTAATAAACTATTGTGAAGAAAAGTTTATCAAAAATTAGCAATGGATTTAATAAAAAATCAAATAAATCAAAACCTATGAAAGTTTAGGTCCTAGATTGATAGTTTTTCATCATTCGGGTCCTATACCGATAGATCTCATTTTTCAGGTCCCGAATTGATAATCCATCTATCTTTCGGGTCCTGAATTGATAAAATTCCTTGAAAGTTTTATAATCCCTCAAAATGTATTTGCCTATAAAAGTGTAGTTTCCTTAACAAGTTGTTGACCGTCTTCACAGGCTTGGCATATATGTGATCCTAATGCAGAGAGGGTATTTAGGGCTCTTAGAAATGCAGGGATAAAGCTGGCTGTTGTTTCAAATTTCGACACACGATTACGACCTTTGTTGAGGGATCTAAACTGTGATCACTGGTTTGATGCTGTGGCTGTGTCAGCTGAAGTAAAACAATAGTGCCTGTTTATTTAATTCTACATTCCAGTTATATATTTTCATAATATAGCAGTGCATGAATCTCACCCTCCCCCTCTTTTGAGCAGGTTGAAGCAGAGAAGCCAAATCCAACAATATTCTTAAAAGCTTGTGAATTTTTAGGAGTAAATCCCGAGGATGCCGTTCATGTAGGAGATGATCGTAGAAATGACATTTGGGGGGCTAGAGATGCTGGCTGTGATGCATGGCTTTGGGGCAGTGATGTCCACTCCTTCAAAGAGGTATGTTTCTCCTTCACACTCTTACTTTTACAGTCCATTCAGAGTGGAGAAAATGCTAGGGAAAGAAAATAGGAAGGTATACAAGAAATTTGGAAGGAAAGAAAACGTTGAGAAATATATAACACTATCTTGAATGCAACATCTTTATAGTGTTTATTGAAAATTATTTTTATTTATTTCTGTGAGATAAATGCCCAGTAATGTATACATAGTCAAAGTTTCAAAAGAAATGCTACGTATCATAACTCCCTTTCCTCTTGCAATGTCCGTGGTAAACCCAAACACGAGGAAATGACTTCTTGACCATTTTCTTTCCTTTACCTAGTGCTTTTGAGAATCCAAACATACTCAATAATTTTGCAGTCGCATATCAAGTGTCAAAGTATTGAGTCGGTATTACCCTCTTCTCGTTATTATTGGGGTTTTATAGTTTTATTTTCTTTATTATGTTTAAAGTTAGCAAATTTTGCCTTTTTGAAATTGATTTAACAATAGGTATGTTTTTGCAGGTTGCCCAAAGAATAGGAGTTCAGGTTTGACATAGTAATGCTTTTTTTGCTCTTAGGATTTAAGGTCTTTTCATGGCACAAACCTTTTAAAGTTTTGTTCTATGAATCCTCGCTGTAAGCCCTTAGCCAGTTGTGTATATTCTTGGAGGATTTGAAACAGTACTAATGTACTATACATATGTTGTTCGAATCCAATAATGGCAATTTCGCAATTGTTATCCCCAGCTCGTTTATGTGTGTCCGTTTTTCTAATTTATAACGATGTTTAAGTTAGACTTTTTCAATCTCATTTCCATAATTAGTCATTGTACCTGTTGAAATGTCGTGTGATCAATGAATTTTCATCGCAAACAATGCATTTTAAAGAAAACTTCAATGTGGATAAATATATAAATTGTAATACATTGTTTGCAAATTGCAATTAAGTATGTGTAAGGCAGCGCAACAAGAGGTGGCCAAAATTCACAGGAATCATGCATGAATTGGGACATGGTTCGTTAGCGGTAGTCTTCATGATGAAGGAAGAGGAAGCCTTTTGGTGGAAGCCTCATATCGCTAATTGGAGGCAAATGAAGGGGTGCTGATTCTTCCTATTCATGAACCGGCGTCATGGAATCAACGAGCATCTACGATTTGGAAGGAGACACTTAAAGTTCGTTTTATTTATCTTAAATTTTAATTTAATTTCGTTAGACATTTTGGCCATGTTTGATAACCGACCGTTAGTTGTTAGCTGATTATGATAGCTGATTGACAATAATTGGTTGTGTCAGTTGTTTTAGTTGACCAACTATGTTAGCTTGTTGTCAGGAAATGTTTGGTAAATTAGTTTTTTTATCATCAAATCCTACTAATATATTAAATCAAAATAACGTTCGTCACATGGCTGATAATACAATCAAAGAAAAAGGAGTAAACAAAATGATAAAAAGTCTTATGTCTATCGTCCGCCCTCGAACCAGACTGAGAATCTATCATCTCTGTAGAAGCAATAACATTCGTTGATCCTGTAATGGGCATAACTGAGTCAATGACTGACAATCCAAATTTCTCATCACCTAACCTAAATTTAAGAATCTCTGTTAGGAAAAAATAACACATCCAAAACAACATGCAATTCGATAGAAAAACACAAATTGAATAAAACGCAATTAAAATAGAGTTCATCCATCTTCTTCCAAACCCTAGATTTGCTTGCACTCCATGGCGGCGGCTCAGGAGGGGGACGCGCCCGTTGCTCATCCGCCACACCCTCAATATCAACTTAAACTAGATCTAGTTCTTCCTCTTCCCCGATCGCCATCTTCTTGTATTTTTCCACGAAACTGTCCATACAAACATGTTGCTTTAACCTTTTGCCAAAATCCTCCTTGTGATCCCCTCCTTCCAATAACAACAACCTTCTCAGCGCCGTACTCGCCTAAGCGAATACCGTCGGACAAAACAAGCTAGGCGTTGCTTGAGACAACAACCCTAGAGAGAGCCCGTTCTGTTGCATTTGGCTGCTGCTTATTCTTGTAAATTAGTTGTTTAAAAATAGTTGTTTGCTAGTAAAAAAATATATAAGGACATTAGTATTTTATTTTATTTTTAGCTATTGTCTATAAAATAATACGTAGTATTACCTACATTTACTTACAAAGTATAATTTAAATTTTAAAAATTGATAACTACAACTGCATGAAAATAAAATAAATTTAAATAAATATTTTAATTTAATTTGAATAATATGAATTAAAAAATAGATTTTAGAATGCAAAAAGACATACAAAGACATTTGTACATAATATTTATTATTTTGTGTTATTGTTTATAATAACCATGTTATAAATAGAATAACTTATAAAATAAAAATAAGAATTAATCAGTTGTTTCAAATTTAAACAGTTAACTCGTATCATAAAAAAAATTAAAATGAATATGATCAGATTTTCTCTCTGTTTTATTTTTGCTTTTGTCTTGGTCCAAAAGGTTGAATGTCCAACCCCAAGGCCCACCCCGACCCGATGATGGGGTTAATCAAGATGACTCAATCAGCAGAGCGGCGGTAGGTCCAGCCTTTTGTTATCTCCCCTTGCATCTCCGTTCTTCTTGCGCTCTCTCGTTTTGCTTTTCTCCCCTCCCAATTCTTCTCTCCTTCCTTACTCTTTTTCTTTTGTTTTTTCCCAATTCTTTTAATTTTCGATGGCAGTTCTTATGAAAAAAGGGTGCAGTCCCTTCTTCCGTTGGCAGCTCCCGCTTCATTCTTTCCCTGTTTTGCTTTTCTTTCCTCTTCTTCAAGAAGAAAACCCTACGATAGGCGCCTACGGTGAATAGAAGTATAATCTCTAAATTTTTATAATCGAGTATGCCTAGAAAATTGTGAATAATCTAAAAATAATCTCAACTCTTCATCCATGATCTCAAAAAAATCCTCCACATCATCAAAATGATCCCAAAAATAATGGAGATGCCTTTAGAGTTGATGACAGGATTTGAAATGCTTGCCTGGCACAATTTTGGAGTTTTTGGTATTACCAATATAAGCCTTTTCTATTTAAAAATCATAAAAATGAAAAGTAGCATAAACTACAAGACTAAATCTATGTTTTTCCCCATCAAAGTTCCATATAACGTAAAATTCAAAAGGTACAAAAAACCATCAAAGTTCAACTAAGAAGTGATCAATTAAGAATTTTCTATTTGGACCGGAAAACACTTATCACGAAGCTTATACAAAATCTAGTTTATTTCACTTATTATGACCACAGACACAGATGAGTGAAAAGTGTCATTTCCATAAAAAATAAGAGTAAATCTAAATATTCAATGCTTTGAAATGGTAGAGTTAGATAAGATTTCTCATTTAAATAGGTGGCATCAATATTATAAGGGGGGATTTCTCATATAGGACTAAATGATACGGGAGTACTTTGATTGCAATAATAGGCTAAAATTTCGTAAATATGATTATCTTTCCGATTCTACTCTTGGTTTGGATCAATAGAATTCATATTTCATTAATAATTAAAGTATAAAAGTAATAACATGACTTTATTTATAATAAAAAATGTAAAAAGATAAAAAAAATCACAAAAATAAATATAATACGTAGTACTACTATAATACAAAATTAATAAAAAACAGAAAAATAAATATTATAAAAATTAAAAACTTAAAAAAATAAAAAAAAAACGTGAAAAAAATACACTGGTCTTTCCTGCAACCTTAAAAATCTCTCAGCACCACCAGCTCCGGCCACACAAAACAATGCCAACATGTGTCAGACTGTCGGTAAGCCATCTTGATGGCGATTTTAGAGAAAATTTTGGCATTTTCAAATAGTACAATTGTCATCGGAATTGGTATTGTTGGAAGGTGGCCGGTATTGAATATTATAGTTATTTTCCATTTACCTTCGTATTAGACATAACAAAGTCCATATGCATGCACATGCACATGTTGGACATTTCACCTTATGTAGAAAGTACATATGGTAGGATTCATGCATGTGACATGCAAAGTACTACATAGAACATGCAAGCACATGCAAGGTTCTTTCCTCTCACCTAGCTAGGATTGCTACTCCATGTAAAGCATATATACATGCACGTATCTTTTGTAATACATCAAGAGAGACTCAAATAATATTTCTCCAGAATACTCTCACTTTCTTCTATTTCCAATTAATATACATCTTCATATTTATCAATTATTGCTATTTTTATCATGATATCAGAGCCAAATTCTTGAAAATAGTATATTTCCAAACACTCTTTCCTCCAAATTTGCTATCCTCTTATCAAACAATGGCGATCGATGATGAGACCAAAGCTAATAGTCAAAATTCCGAGAGCTTAGTAATTGATTCTATGTCACCTTATTTTTCATTCATTCCGGAGATAAGCCCGGAGATGTGTTCGTCACCTCAATTCTTTGTGACGGTAACTACGGTGATTGGCTCGATGAGATGAGCAACACCCTTTATGCAAAAAATAAATTTAGCTTCGTGAATGGTGATATTCTGATGGCAAAATCCGATTCACCATATCTCTTGCACTGACAGCGAGCAAATGCAATGGTGAAAGCTTGGTTAAACTGTAGCATGGACGTTGAACTTAGGCAAAGTGTGAAGTTGAAAATGGCCCGTGAGATATGGGTTGACTTGCAAGAACGATATCAGAAAGAGAGTGCACCTCGAGCTTATGAACTCCGATGTATCCTTGCCTCCATCCGGCAAGATGGTCAGTCAATATCGGCCTACTTTAGCCGGCTACGTCGTGTGTGGGATGAGATTGTTTAGAGATGTTGCACTTGCAACATCTCTAAACAAATGACAGACTCTCGCGATAGAGACCGGCTTTACGATTTTATGATGGACCTAGATGGTGCTTACGGGCAACTAAAAAGTCAAATACTCGCCACTAGACCAATTCCCACCCTCACTGGTGCATACCACCTCGTCTCAGAAAATGAACATCACCGGTCCATTGCATCTTCCCCACAACCCGGGCACTGACAGTGTAGCTTTCTTCATACGACCGAAGAAGGAAATTATTCCAAACCGACCTACAAACTCAAAAGAGGCCAGAACATGCTCCTATTGTGGAAAGGTTAATCATACGTATGAAACATGTTTCATGCGGCTGGGATATCCACCCAATTGGAATCTCAAGTCTAAAGAGAATAAAATAATAGGAGGGAGTCATGAACCCATTATCCCTTTTCAAAGGCCGAATGTGACTCAAGAGAAATTCAGGCAATTCCCAACATGTGTTGCACACGTGGACAGCCAACAAAAATCTGAGTTTGGATTATCTGATGACCAATTGCAGCGATTGGCCAACTTCATGAAGCAAGAAATAAAAGAACCAGCACACGCCCAATCTTCTTCCGGTGTCCAGATTAATATGGCAGGTACATATCAAGGCTTTCTTGGATAATAGACTCCGGAGCAAGTGAACATATCATTTGTAATAATGATTGATAGGCACTAGTTGTTAGTGCCTACATTTTTATTATCATTTGTAATATCTATTTACTAGTATTGTGCAAGTTTATAGTTGTTAGTTTGCATTTGATTGTAATCGTATTTCTAGCATTTTATTGTTTGTTGTAAGTTGTACTTAGTTTGACTATAAGTTTAGGATAGGTTTGGAAGCAAAAAGGATGAAAAAACCTGAGTTTTGTGCAAAACCCGGTCGGGTATGGACTATACCCGGCCGGGTATGAAGTGACAAAGGAAACTGCTGCAAAACTAGCAAATACCCGGTCGGGTATTTCATATACCCGGTCGGGTATTCTGTGATTTCGGACCAAAGAACGTGCAGAAGACACAAAAACATGGGAAAATATTTGATTTGGTAAATACCCGGTCGGGTATGTCAAAATACCCGGCCGAGTATTCGGCATTAGGTGTTGAAAACACCTATAAATAGCCCCATTTTCCTTCACATTTCATCATCCCTTCTTCCATTCTCTTTAGCTCAGTTTAGAATAGCATTTCTTTATATTTTTCTAGCTATGTTTAGTTTCCAAATGAGGAGCTAAACTTCCATTCTTGGTTTTGCTCTTGAAGCTTGTTGATTATTAAAGTTGTGAGTTATTTTCTTAACTTCTTCTCTTGATTATTATTTCTTCCCTTAATCTCATTCTATATTAATGTTGGAGGGTTGCTAAGTGACAATTAGTTAACGTTCCGACATTAATTACTACTAGAAACGATCAACGAACCGATGGTTAATCGTTGGTGGTTTCACAAGTAAGTAACTTCGGTTTATTAATGCACGGTCGTGGTTAATAGACTTAAGAGGGATCAATTTTGTTGGTTAAACCGAAAC